CATAGATTATAGTCAACCAAGAAAGAATGAATGAACTTGAAGATAGATTTGAGGAAATTATCCAGAACACAGAGAGAAAATGTGAAAGGTTAAGGAGACACCAAACTGGAGTGAGAAGGCCTGATAAATCCCCATTATATTCCAGAGCAAAAGTTGGGAGAACACGGGACAGTTGGGGAATGCTGGGAGTTCAGAGATAACAGATCTGAATTTTGAGAACTTATTATGACATAAATCTTTGTATTTAGAAAGAAGGAATCCTGAGCAGGAGGAAAAAAAAAAATACTACACGAGCATGTTGTTCTGAGCAGGATGAATACAAAGAAATCTCCTCATAGACACAAGACAAAAAGCAAATTCTTATTGAGCATCCTAGTGGGAGGGCCTGGGACTCTGCATTCTGAATGGCTGCCAGGTGTCGTGTATGCTGCTGAAACACAGACTACACTCAAAACAGGAAGAAGCTGAGAGGAGAAAACAAGCCCTTTATCAACAGATTGATGAAAAACCAAAATGTGGTCTGCCCATAAAGGCCATAAAAGGAATAAAGTGCCGGTATGTGAGTGAACCTTGGAAACATCATGTTAAGTGAAAGAAGCCAGGTACAAAAGGCCACTTACTCTATGATCCCATTTATATGAAATGTCCAGAAGAGGAAAATCCACAGGGATAGAAGGCAAATGAGTGGTTTCCGGGGCTAGGGAGAGGGAGGAGTGGGTAGTGGTGTAGAGAGCGGGCTGTGAGACTGGCAGGGCTTTCACAGCCTGGGGAACATTCAGAGAACGAACCTCTGTTTCATCTTTGTTCCTAACACGGCCATATTCTTTTTTTTATGCTCTCTTTGCTAAAAGTCCTGTAGCCCTTTCTTTGTCTAGTTAACTATGCAGAGATCTTTAAAATCTGTTTTTTCTCCTTGTCATATGCTAACAAAGGTAAGTAGTAACTACTAAGTTACATAGTTTTTCTTTTGTTAACTATTTATTCTTCTTTTTTTATTAAATGATAGCTGTGTACATTAATGCAAACATGGGGTACAGTGTGGTGTTTTCATATGCAATTTGAAATATTTTCATCAAACTGGTTAACATGGACTTTGTGTCATTTACTTAGTTATTGTGTTAAGACATTTATACTCTAGTTTTAGAAAGATTCACTTATACCCTTGCAAGACAGACCAGAGAGGTGATCTTTCGAATCACCCTCCCTCCACCCATCTCTTTTGTTAACTATATTGGGATCACGTGGTCTTTCCCTTCTTGCTGCTTGTCATATGTTAACGAGGTTGAGTAAAAACCATTAACAAGATGATTTGCCTCAAAGTCATTTACATTTTCCTATTGTACTGCAAGACCAAAACTATGTCTTTTGTTTATGCTATTTCTCCATTTTGTCTATGTTACTTTCTCCTAGACAACCTTGTAGAGATACTATAAAATAAAACTGATTTTGTGCTTTGGTGCTGGCTGCAGCCATCAGCTCAGTCAGTCCTCCCGGTCCATCCTTTGTTTCTGTGTCTTCCTTCGTGCTGTGTTTTCCTCATTTCCTACCAATTCCACTCTGGTTCGCTACCCTTCCCATGCTGGTTCGTGACATAGTGGCTACTCATGTGCGTGGGATTTCATTTTAGAATGATGAAAATGTTCTAGGCCTAGATTGCATGATGTTGTGAGGGTACTAAGTGTTGCTACAGCAATGATAAATTTTATGTTACATGTATCTTGCCACAATAAAAAAACAAAAACAAAAGCAAAGAGCTGGATCATTGCTACAATCTCTGTAGTTAAATGTTCTATAGTTCTAGGAACCAAAGTTAAGAAGGTAAATAGCTGTCTGCTCAAGGAAGAGGAGATGAGTTCCTTGGAGAGAAGCCTTGGTAAGTTTCCCAGAGGGCTTGCAAATGAGTGCAATGGCACAGCAATGCACTCTATGGAGAAAAGAGTCTGTGAATGTTCTCAGGCAAAATCGATCAATCCATCACATCACTGTATCTCTACAGAGTCCCCTTTTTGTGGCCAGCCCTGTATCAGGAAGACGGAACAAGTTGTTCAGTTTTGCCAGGGAGCTCAGAGCCCGGAAGGAGAAGATGGAAAGACAGGCCCTACGTTCACATCTTGAAGGTTGTAGATGGTCCAAGGCGATCAGGGTTGTCAGGGAGGCCACTTGAAGGGGTGGGCACAAATCAAGATCAATTATGCTAAATTAGTCTAAAGCAAGTCACTAAAATTCCTTTTTGGGCAAAGCAAAAAATAAATATGTGAATCTCTAATATCCGTGCTATGTAAAATTGGGCCCAGCATCTGCCTTTCCTATTACACGTTTGAAATATGGTCCAGCTATTTGCACCATTAGAAAATTACTAATTGCTACTTACCATATGGTGGGAATGATTATTTTCTGGAATCGTTTGGTCACAATAATGACAGTAGATTTCCCTTTGAAGAGCTGAAATTCTTTCCCCTGAATAAGCACAGAAACACCACCACAAATGATTGCCCTTGACAGTGGCTAGCTCCCCTCTCCCACAGCTGCTCATGCACGTGAACTGCCCCCAGCCCTGCCTGGCCTTGAATTTCCTGTACTGCCAGCATCCTTGACCACACAGACAACCTTTGGCTGAGTTGCCTAAATCATGTCTTTTCATAGCCACAGATGTGCACTCTGGGCTGCAGTGACCCTGATGGAGTGACACATTCGGAAAACAGACCTGGTTTCTTTTTCTTTCTTTCTTTCTTTTTTGAGACAGAGCCTCAAGCTGTCACCCTGGGTAGAGTGCTGTGGCATCACAGCTCACAGCAACCTCCAACCCCTGGACTCAAGCGAGTCTCCTGCCTCTGCCTCTCAAGTAGCTGGGACCATAGACACCCACCACAATGCCTGGCTATTTTTTGGTTGCAGCCATCACTGTTGTTTGGCGGGCCCAGGCTGGATATGAACTCGCCACCTTTGAGTATGTGGCTGGCGCCTTGGCCACTTGAGCCACAGGCATTTAGCCACAGGCCTGGTTTCTAAGAAGATGAAGGGGGCTATAACCATGGATGCCCATTCTAGCCAATCTGACTTTCCTTTCCTCCCACCAGTTGCCAAGGTCTGTGGTCAGACCAGATGTTGCTTGTACACATCTTTGTTGATGGTGTTGACATTGTGCTATGTTACGTTGGCAAAGTTGTGTTGGTTGTGTTGAAGCCCAAATATGCTAGAAAGAAGGAAATGTTTAAGAATCTCATACTTCCCAGTTTTTCACTGGCTACCTTGACCTTGAGGACGTTGTTTACCCGGAGAGAATTACCATCCAAGGGGTTTTAGGCTCTCTCCCATGTTACCACATTACCAAAACAGCCAGTGAAGTCAAATAAAAGATGTGTCACATTGATGCCTGTGTCCTCAGTAAATAGTCTCATAAAGAGGTAAGTGGGCCAAGAGAACATGAAATGGTACCAGGGAGCCAACACATAGGCTAAAGGCTAGAAGCCACAGCTAGGTCCCTTTCTGTCCCTTCCTGATGGTGGGAAAAGCTCTTGATTTGGAAACTTGAGTGTCCTTTCTCATTTCTGCCTGTAGGGACCCCCTGTATCATTCTGTGAGTCAGTTTTTCATCTGTAGAAGGATGCAGGAGGGTCTGCCAGGCTGGGTTTGTGCTGGAAGAGCTCAAAGAAAGCCTCCCCTTTTCTAGGTCTGCCCATGGCCTTCTCATCTGTGCAGCTGCCAGGCTCCACCCCCAGCTTCTTGGTCTTACTACACTAGTCATTTGCAGACCACAGCAGACAGACAAGGCCACTTTAATGAATGACTTAGAATTAGATCAGCCAGGTGACTTGTGGCCTTCCTGACACATAACCTTGTCATCTGTCCTGCTGAGAGTTTCCATTCCTTACACCCCATCCAGGAGAGGCTGTGGTCCCTGAAGCATCCCTTTTCTGCCCCAGCCTGTGTGCTCACCTTTCTTGAGCTGGGCCTGTTTATACCGACAGACATCTTTGTGCTGGGCCAGCACTCGGAGTGCGATGAACTGGCCACAGTTGGGGCAGAGCTCTGTCCGGTTGCCACAGTTGAACTCGTGGACCTCCAGCTCGCTGAGCTGCATGGCCAGCTTGCAGAACTTACACTTAGAGGGGTGCTCCTGGCATTCGTTGGCCTGGGGAAGGCAGCAAGATGGATATGATCACCAGCTTCTTCGACTGCAGACAGAACAGGAACAGGCACCCATCTCCCCAGGGAACTGAATCCAGTAGGAGAAAGTAGAAGGGAAGGGACAGAGCAGGGGACTGCCATCAGGGAATCTGGGCTCTTTTGGACTCGTGGTCAAGTGAAAAAGCCCTTCTGACTAGCATCTGGGGGACAGAAGGGCCTGGGTCCCTGTGGTGGGCTAGTTGTCTACCAGCCTACTGGGGTGAGAAGAGAGTGGGCAGGTAGAAATCCCTCCTCCCCTGTCCCTCTCCCCCGCCCAGCGTGTCTTCCTTGGCTGTAAAGGAGAAATCACATGTGATGTCTACCTGGTGAAATTCCATCAAGGGCTTCTGCAGGCTCTGCTGATGCATCATACGCCAAAATATACGGGGGAGATATGGGATCCGCATCCACCTTGGCTCACTTTGTCCCGTGTCTGAGTCTGTGAAGTCCTAGAGGACAGGGATCAGCTGTGGCTGCCTGAGTCCCCCTCTGGTACCCATCCCAGCACGCAAGAAATGTTCTCCAGACCAGCTGGAGTTGAAATGGACTCCAAGTTTGAGGATGTCCACAAAGACAGAAGAAGGGCCCCAGGAGGGTTGGGCATGAAAAACTTGGCAAAAAAGTCAGCTCAAACTGACTGCCTCCTAGAACCCTCCTTTCCACTTCTCCTCTTCACATCCCCAAAGAACACCCAGCCTTTCCAGAAACAGGGACCTCTTGCCTTGACCAGACCCATAAACTCACAGGGAGTGTTGGAGATAGAAAAACTAGGGGTGTGGTGATGACGCAGTTTAGTATGAGAACGACCAGGCTGTGCAGGGCTAAGTGACTTCCCCATGGCAGCCTCATGAGTCACTGCAGGGAGGACCAAACCCTCACCTGACTCCCAGACCTTATCCCTCCTGCCACCTCCTGCTGGTGGCAGGCCTGGCGATGCTCTTCCATCTTTGCCCTTGGGATGGCCTCCTCACACTCCGGGCAGAGGACGAGGAACCGCAGGCAGTGAGCCTCATGGAGGGTGAAGTGGGAAGTGGCCACATTTTTTTTGCTGCAGGATGGATGTGGGAAGAAAAATAGACTAATTTTTATGGTTGAAAACATGGAGCCATATTTCACACCCAGGGCTAGGTTGTCAGAGGCCTTAAACATTGAAAATAGGATGACAGTGATGCCACCCACCCCACACGCCCTCCCTGTGCTGATCCAAAATCAGAATAATGCAACCCTGTACAGTCAGTATAAGGACTCTCGGCAAAGGTCTTACACTGCCCACTGGGTGAGTGGGAAGGAGCAGGAGGGAGGGATTCCAAAAAACACAAAGAAACTTTTGGGGTTGTGGATAGGTCATTATCTTGATCATATGGCTGGTTTCAATTGTTTAACAGATGTCAAAATCATCCAACTTTAAAAATCTGCAGTTTATTCTATACCAATTATACCTCAATCAAACCATTTTAAAAATGAAATAACATGTATCAGATTCTTTCAAATGTTTTTTCTTGTTGTCTGATACCCCTGCTTGGCCCAGAACTGGCTAGTAATGCAGCTCCATCCTGCCCATGCTTTCTGCAAGGGCAATGCCAAATTCTAGAATCTCTTCCTCCAAAGGCAAGGGGCCACTCACTTCTCCCCTGCCCCCAGGTTCACCTGTGTTAACCTGCAGAGAGGCCCTGAGTCTCTTCTTGGAGACCCTAGTGAACTAAGGCTTCCGAGCCTCCCACTTCCTGAGCAGGGGAGCAATCCTCTTCCCTGAGAAATTTGCCCTTTCATTCCCATTAGCTCTTGCTAGAGGAAGCTTGGGACAGAGGCCACTCAGTGGCTAGAGCACTAAAAAGTCCAATGGACCTTTAGGAGAGTCAAATGCCCAAGTTCCTGGCTCCTGGGACATGGCCAGATAGGAACAGTCAAAGCCTCACTATTCTTAGTCTGAGCAGGATCTTTGTGTCTGCCCTGCCAGGTGGACGGCACACAGGCACACAGGCGGCTTCTCCCTCCCTCCCTCTGTCCTTTCCCCTCTGTCGGCCTGCCCCCTTCCTTCCTCTGCCCTTCTTCCTAGGCTGGTGAGGGACACGGGAGCAAGAAAGGTCTGGGTGGTGCCAATTTCTCTGGTGAGGGCCCCTTCTTGCTACTGCAACAGGTAAGGGCTGTGAGAGGCAGGCTCTTCACCAGGCCAGGTCCCCTTAGGTAGAGGAGTGGCACAGGCCCTTGCTCTGTTCCACAGCTCCCTGTCTAGGTGGGGGTGGGGACAGTCCTGGAGAATCTCTGTGGGCCCCCTTCTGTCAGTGACTGGTGTTGAAGACCATAATTATCAGAACCCCAAGTTAGGACCCAAGATCTGACTGTATGAGTCACCCAGTAGGGACAACTGGCCTGGTTATTTGTCTTTAGGACTGCCCAGAAAGTCTAAAATTTGTGGGGGGGGGATGTAGGGAAGTGAAGGTAATGCTGCCCATGAACCCTAGGGACTCACAGTCCCACCGGCTGTGTGAACCATTCTCTCTTCCCTGTCCCCCCCCCTAAGGCTGGCCACTCCCGATAAAGCACCTTCCTACCAGTTTGGGCACACCTGGAGCGTGTCTTCCAACTCCAGGTCTCCTGGAGTCTTTCGGACCCAGCGGGTTTCCTCCATCTCCTAGTCTGCTGCCGTCTTTCTGTTGAGTTTCATTTCCTAAAGATAAGAAAACAAAACTGAAAGTATTTCAGTGGGCTGGCCCACAGCTTCCAGGAGGGAGGAGATTTTCAGATTTCTCAGCTGAAGATTGCTGCAAGCTTCCCACGGCTGGACACTCCCAGGAAGCCCCTCTGTAGCACTACAGGCCCTGACATCACAGGCTGTTACTACCACCCTGAGGGTGGGAGCCAGAGGCCGGGGCCCCTCCAGGCCAGCAGCCCCTCCCCTTACCCTCCACTCCATTCTGTTTCCCAAACCATCAGCCTCCCTTTCCTCCACTCCAACTCCTATCTGGTCCTCCTGCTGGAAGAGGGAACTTGCTGTGTTGAACTCGAAAGCTGCTCTCTTAAAAACTGGCTCCCGGACCTCCTGCACTAGAGATGCAGGGTGGTGTGAGCTTGGAAGTCGCTTCCTGGGAGTGGAGTAGCTCAGTGGCCTGGTATAATTGCCTTAATCCCTGAGCTGCTCCTCCCTCAGGAGTGTGTGTGTAAAATAATCACAGTGAATGCTAATATGATGCTCAGGCTCCTGGCACTGTGAGGAGGTTCTGTTGTTATCACTGAGTCTTCAGAGGGAGAAACTGAGGCACAGAGGGCTCATGCAATTCGCACAAGCCACCCAGCCAACAGGCAGCAGAACTGGGCTTTGCATCCAGGCCACGTGGCCCTCGGCTTGTCTCCCTCAGAGTGGCCACAGGCCCGGGACATCCAGGTTACAATTCTGACAGTCATGAACTGGCAATTTGTGTCACCTTAGCCTTTCTGAACATCTTTGTTTCCTTATGTATTGGACTATAGTGGGGACTTGAGACTTCAGGAGTCCAGGGGCTTCCAGACATTTGTGCAAACTTGCCTTTTCCTGAGGAGAGATAAACATTTTTATGAGACTCTCAAAAAGGGGTCCCCAGACATTATGAGCAATTTGACCAGTTGACCTCGTCTTTGAATCGCTGCGATTCAAAGAAATCAAGTTCTGTTAAAGGCGACACATGTCCAAAATTATATATGCACAATCTAATCAAGTGAATATAGACCATTTGTAAGTTTGTCTATTTGTGTTCATGGCCCCTACCACAGGAAGAAGCATGGTGTGATGAGTTACATCAGTGTTTTTCAACCTTTTTTATCTCATAGTACACTTGAACCTATAGTTCAACTTCCATGGCATACTTAAACTATGTTAATAAAAAGAATATGCTTACTGTACTTTGAACTTCTTTTGAAAATAACTTAATGATCTTCAGAAGTTTTTGTGTCACACCCGTGTGTTTTGTTTGGGATACCAGTTGAAAACCACTGAGTCAGACAAAAAAAGTGACAAAACAATGTGGCTAATAGCTCAGTGAGAATTTAAAAAAAATGTGAATAATTGTAACTATCAGAAACACTTTGATATTACATACTTCATACTGGATGTTTTCTTCTTTTCTTTTTTTTTT